GTCTCAAAGACAAAAACAAACAAAAAAACTGGAATGTTTACACAGCACCATGATTATGAAGGTATTCTCCAATAGACTAAATGTCTTAGGTAATAGAAACTGTCAATGTAAACTTATTTTCACAGTTAAAAAAATGACTCCTTATGCAAATTACCATTAATGACATGAAGGCAAATGATACATGTGGACTTTTAACACCGGATTCCTCCTCAATTCCATGCTAGGAGGCATTGTTCAAAGGAGTGATGACTCGATACTTTGTCTAATTTCTAACCCGGTGAGTAATCTGATCTAAAATCTTTCACTTGGTTTAAAAAAAAAAAAAAAAAGAGCGATTATTTCCCTACATATTTTTACTTAAATGCTCTCTGTTTAAATCTGTTTAATCTGTGATTAAATTACAACACAATGATTTGGGATAAACAAATCTATTTGACATTTAGAAACTGCCAATTTTGTCAGAATACCAATCTTTGAGTTTATCTAATCTGCCCTCCGGAGCACTTCCTGAGGCAAGAACACACTGTGTTCATGTGTGTGAATAAGAAAAACTATTTCATCTCTAAGCAAAAAATGAGCAAGTTCTTTCAAACAACGTTCTAACAAGATTGCTGAATATCTTGACACACTAGTTCTTGACTTAATATATTCCATTTCCTGTTTGAAATTATTGATTAACCCTGAATCCTGCCTCACAACTTTGGTTATTTCTCACCTTTAAAAATGTGTTTAGCCGGCGCGGTGGCCCGTGCCTGTAGTCCCAGCTACTCGGCAGGCTGAGGTGGGAGGATCACTTGAGCCCAGGAGGTCTGGGCTGTATGCCGATCGGGTGTCCGCACTAAGTTCGGCATCAATATGGTGACCTCCCAGGAGCGGGGGCCCACCAGGTTGCCTAAGGAGGAGTGAACCAGCCCAGGCTGGAAACGAAGGAGGTCAAAAATCCCGTGCTGATCATTAGTGGGATTGCGCCTGTGAATAGGCATTGCACTCCAGCCTGGGTAATATAGGGAGCTCCCCCCCGCCCCCCCCCCCCCGTCTCTGAAAAAAAAAATGTGTTTAGATGAGGAAAAATTAAGATGTCCACAATTTTGGTATGCGTCTCTAAGATGGACTATGAGACAAGAGAAAATAGAATCGAATTTTTAGAAATGAAATATTGAAAAAGGTTAAGCTATTTTGCATCTTCATTTGCATTTTCTCTTGCTGCCTGGAGTTGAATTAGCAACTTTTTCCCAGTTGAGTAAGGTTTTCACCCACTTTCTACTTCACCCTCCCTGGTTTACTGCCATCACTTTTCACTTTCATCCATCGTCAAGTTCCCTTAAGAATGAAGCAGAAAATCCAGCTTAGTCATTTTCAGCAGACGGAGTAACTTAGGTTGTCATCTTCCAAAGATTTCACAAACATTCATGCATGTCTGAACTCTGAAAGTTTTATGAAATTGCAGGAAATTTTAAGGGACTTTTGTAGCTGAGTAAATTCCACACCCTGTACTCCCACACTTGCCAAATACAACCTAAAGTAAATCTCATGTCCACAAATAAGGGATTTACTTCAACTAGCAAGACTGAAGGAATGGATTCTTACTGGTTCTGATTTGTACTCTATTATTCCCAAGGAATTTTAGCAAAGACAAGCTGAAATCCTCTAATTTTTTTCAAATGGCTGGATACTAGATACTAATGCTTGTGCTCTCATTGAATCGACTCGAAAGAGAAAAAGAACCGGACCAGAGTTAAGAGCACTAGTTATTTTTTTGTTTGTTTGTTTTTTGAGATGCAGTTTCATTCTTGTCACCAAGGCTGGAATGCAATAGCATAATCTTAGCTCACTGCAGCCTCTGGGTTTAAGCGATTATCCTGCCTCAGCCTCCCTAGTTGCTGAGATTATAGGTGCCCACCACCACGCCTAGCTATTTTTTTTGTATTTTTAGTAGAGATGGGGTTTCACCATGTTGGCCAGGCTGCTCTTGAATTCTGGACCTCAGGTGATCCCACCCACCTTGGTCTCCCAAAATGCTGGGATCACAGGCATCAGCCACCACGCTGGGCCCAGAACACTAGTTTTTTTTTTTTTTTTTTTTTTTTTTTTT